CGGTACAGATCCTCACTCTCGCCTGTTTTGGACTCTATGTCCCCCAAAGCTTCCTCACGGTTGGTTTCAAAAGCCCAGAAGCCATTCTCGAGGGCCAGAAGGGCTCCTTCCTGTCCATCCCCCCCTGGTGCATGGGCATGGCCTTCATCAAGCTCTCGGTCGGCCTGACGCTGCTGCGCATCCAGAGCGGCACGTTCTATAAGGCTTTCATATATATCAACGTCGCCCTTGCAGCCTCTTATGGTATAGGTAACGCCCTTTTCGTGCTCTTGTCTTGCCGCCCTCTCTCGGCGGCCTGGGGCGACTTTGGAAACGGGGACTCCACTTGCCTTCCCCCCTCGGCCATCCGCATCGCCTCCGTTACCGGCGCCGTCGTCAGCGTAACGACCGACGTGGGGCTATCCCTGGCCCCCATCAGCTTCCTCTGGAACCTCAAGCGCCCCCTGCGCGAGCGCCTGGTCCTCGGTTTCCTCATGGGCCTCGGTCTGCTGGCCGGTATCTCGAGCATCATTAAGAACGTCATGATCGCCGACTATGGCAAGCCGGGAGTCCACACGTGGGCCATGAGCGTGTCCATCAGCACCTGGACGGAGCTCGAGATGCTCCTCGGTGTCATCGCCGCCTGCATCCCCTTTTGCAAGCCCGTCATCGAGTCTTGCTTCTCCAAGATGGGCATCTCCATCTCCAACACCAAGCCTGCCATCACCAACCCCTCGCCGGGCTACGCGGGGCTTGCGTACCAGCGCGCCGACAACCGCGACACCTTCCGGTCCAAGCAGGCCGCCAGCAGCACCAACACCAAGAACCAGTACGAGTCGGAGGAGGACCTTGTCAAGGACGCCGTTGAGCTGCAAGTTCCCGGGGCGGGGATCCGCAAGCACACCGACATTCATGTCACGTCCGCCGTCGAGGATGGGGGGCACGTCAGGGTGCCGCAGGACAAGTACTACGTGTAGGGGAAGAGACGGAAGAGGGAATATAGACGATTCGTGCTCGGCGCGCCATGTATTTATAGAACGGCAAACATTAGACGGACAGCCATGCGCACCACGACACAAGCAGCATGAACAACCTCCAACAGCAGAAAATATACCAACATCAACCCCTACCTCAACCCCTCCCACCCCTTTGCCCCCTTGACAAATTCCTCCCACCTAACCACCCCAAACCCCGCCCCCCTCACCAACGCCAGCGACTCCTCCAACCCCTCCCCACCATAATACCCCGGATCAACCAACATCAACATATTCTCCAGCACCTCCTGCGCCACATCCCCCCTCATCCCCTTGCCCACCAGCTTATCCCTGTACTCCCCCTCCCCGACCTGCTTATACCTCGCCCCCCTCCCGCTCTCGGGAAACGCCCTTCTGAACCCCTCCACCACCCCCTCGCACGTCAGGTACTCGCTGGCGCCGAGGATCCGCCTCCCCAGCGTCGCCTCGCGCTGCAGCACCGCGGCCGCGACGAACTTGCCCGTGTCGGCGGGGTTGAAGAGCGGGATGCGCGTGGCGGGCGGGACGGGCAGGGAGAAGGTCCACGCCCCGGTGTCGGCGTCGAGGCGCATCTGCGAGGAGACGATGTTGGGCATGTAGAAGCCCGGCATGAAGAAGGTGGCGGGGAGGGGGGTGGTGCGGATGTAGGATTCGACGTGGGCTTTGCTGTCGAAGTGGTGGATGTGGGGGAGGCGGCCTTTGGAGACTGGTGTCCGGGCTCGGGGTTAGGGTTGAGAATGGGGCGAGGGCAGGGGGGAACTCACGTTCGCTCATGTTCATGAGGGAGCTGAAGATGAAGTGCTGGACGCCGGCGGTGATGGCGGCGTCGGCGAGGGCCTTGCCCTGACGCTCCTCTACGGCCGCGTCGAGGGATTCCCAGTAGTTGGTCACGGCGTAGACGGCGTAGGCGCCCGTCATGGCTTCGAGGAGGGTGGCGGGGCTGTTCATGTCGGCCTGGCGGTGTTAGGGGTGGTATGAGAGAGCCTGCGGGGGAAGGGAGGTCTCACCGAGACAACTTCGGCACCTTGCTCGCGGAGCTTGGCCGCAGATGGCTTCGTGATGTCCCGGGTGACGGCGCGGACGGTCCAGTCATTCTTCAGCTTGGCATCGTGGAGGAAGGTATTTGCAACCGAGCCTCCCTGAGCTCCAGTCGCGCCAAAGACGGCGATGGTAAGTTTCTTGGCCATTGTGAGTTTGAGGTGTTGACTTTAAGAGGCAGAGCACTGACTACACCTTGATGGACAGATCCGCCCTTATAAGTCCTCTGGGGTGCTACTCATTGCTCCCTCGCTGCTTGCGGAGGTCATGGTTGCTGCATGTCATGGCGAGAGATCATTGGCCCGGGATCATGAAAGTGGCTTCTTATGGAAACGTAGGTAGTATCGGACTGTCCGGAGTGTTCCACACAGCTTCACCTTTCGGACAGCTTTGGTGACGCGCAGTGGAGATCCAACAACGGGTGGACGGGTGCTTCGTCAGACCCATGCGGGGTGTTTTTGAACCGGCAAAGAGAATCCTGTTTGACCTTCAACTCACTTGATAGACTGATGAGCCCAATGACCCGTCCCTCGGGCCTCTTGCGAGAGGACGGCCACCCTTTAGGAGATGAACACCGTTCTAAAGGGGAAAGGGCGAGACGTATAATACCACTATACTACAGTCCCTGATTAATTGATGTACTATTGGGCATGTATTTTCCCTCATGATACAGATACCATCACGGCCTCCTCGACATCTGGATCATTCGCTTGCATCATTTTTCAGTTGTTCACATCCAGCATTTCCTCGCATTCTTCACACCATAAAGGTTTATAGAGTCAGGCTGCGACAAAGAAGGAAGTGCGCCGTGCTGGTTGTCTTCGACGCCGCTTTTCTGGAAGGCGGCCGCATTGGGAGGGCAGGTTCCTTTGTTTGTCACGAAATCCGCAACATCGGCATGACGGACTCGGAGACTTGTTTCTGAGACAAGGGCGTATTTAGACCCACCTTGACCATGTCAACAACGAATCCCTCAAGGACATGAAAGAAAGGCCCGAGGCGGTCGACCTGCTTTTGTTTCGATCCAAGTGTGCCGGTGCCAGTGCCCATGGGCTTCTTCCCCAGTAGCCTCTTTGTTCTTCCCAAGCAAAGTTTTCCTGTCCAGCAATTTCCTCGACGGCTGAGCTATCACCACACCACATCCAATTGGGCTTCACCTGGTCGTCTTTCCGACCCTCGACACCACGATACCTGTACTGCTCACCTCGTTGTCATCAACGTCGCCGTCGACAGATCGCCAACACAAACATGTCTGACCTTCCGGACTTCTCGGACGTTGTCCAAAGTTCCACGCACGGGGACTTGGACGCCGAAGACGACACCGGGTCAATCGCGAGGACCCGTGAGGCGAACCCATACCAGCCCAACACCATATTCTGGGCAGTCCAAGAGGGTGATCTCCAGGCGGTAAACGCCCTCTTCAATGGTGGTTTTGCGGAGCCCTGGAAGCTCAAGGAGGACTGCTACTACGTCTCGCCCATCCTGCGATCCCGCCTACAGGATCTCGCCGCCCTGGGGGATCTCGGGGGCCCTGGCCCGTTCCGCATCACCGACAACCTCACGCGCGAGTTCCTTCGAGAGAATACGGTCATCTTGAATATGCCCACGATCCCCAAGCACGAAGACAGCTTTGAGGACAGGGACAGTGTCACCAAGGGGAAGCTGCAGATGAGAAGGCCACCCCATGGTTTCTGCAGCCTGGACGACATGATCGGCCGCAAAATCGTCGGAAGGGTCGTCAAAGAAGGCTCCCCCATCACCTGGGCGCACCACTATGGCGCGAGCTGGTGGGGGCCCCTCCACCTCGCCGCTCTCCTCGGCCACACCGAAATCGTCGACAAGCTCCTCGACGAGCAGCACGGCATCGAAGACTTCGCCCGCGGCCTCTGCGACTGCCTCATGCCCTCGCACCTCCTCGCCACGCCCAACGGCAAAGAAGACACCGTCGGCGGCACCCTCAGCGACCCCCGCCCCGATTGGACCCCCCTCCACTACGCCATCTGCGGCGGCCACATCTCCACCGCCAAACTCCTCGTCGAGCGCGGCGCCTCCGAGATGGTCGGCCGTTCCTTCAACGTCAAAAACTGGCCCGGCCCCTCCCCGGCCCACGAGATCTCGGGTCGGGTAACCCCCCCAAACCCCACCCGAACCCCCCGCGGCAAACCCACCCCCGCAACGAACCCCCTCCCCCCTCCCGGCCGCCGCCGCCGCCGCCCCCTCCAGGACTGGGAGCGCCCCACCTGGCCGGCCCTCCACTCCGCCGCCCGCACCGACATGTACATGTGCGACTACCTCCTCGACGCCTTCCCCACGTCCATCGACCTCGAGTCCATCGTCTGGCGCAACGGCCTGCACCCGACCCCGGCGCCCATCCGCTCCACGGCGGTCATCCAGGCCGCCGCGGCCGGACAGATCCGCACCGCCGGGCGGTACCTCCTCGACCGCGGCGCGCGGTTCGCGATACCCGGGTACACGGACCAGGAGCTGCGCGATCCGCTGCGGGTGCTGTGTGCGATTGGGAGGCTGGAGGACGCGGTGTGGCTGACGGAGTTTTTGCTCGGGCTGTGGGTGGGCGGGGATAGGCCGCACTTGGAGGGGCCGACGAGGCAGATGAGGAGGAGCGTGGAGGCGTGTTTGGGGATTTTGGAGAGGAGGAAGAAGGGGGGGTTGTTGGTCGAGGGGGGCGGGGATTGGCCGTTTGCATCGGCGAGGGAGAGGCAGGGGAGGTGGGCGGGGGGGATTGCGAGTGCGGGTGCGGATGAGGGGAGGGGGATGGTGGATGGGGGGAGTTGCAGGGAGGAGGACGTGCAGATGTATTTTCGGGAGCAGGTGTTGGTGAGGTTGACGGCAATGGGGTTTTGAATTGAGGCACGGGGGCTCAATCTTTTGGTGGGGGATTGTTTTGGTGGGGTGGGGGCAGTGTCAGTGTCTTGGGGGCAGTTACCGGGCCAACAGAGCACCAATGAAGCAAGGACTGTGGTATAGTGGTATTACCACTCGCCACCCTAATGACCTCTCGCAAGAGAGTCGTTTTCTACTCAGGCGAGAAGATCTGGGTTCGAATCCTAGCGGTCCTATTACCTACATTTTTGCTGCAGTGTTTTACCATTAAGTATATCAATCTTGTGCGCGACAAGCTCCTTCACCAGGGACATTTTCCACCCAGCCTGGTGGACTGGGTGGGACATGACCCTGGTCATCAATATGCGGGAGTTTCTTTTTCCTCGCCATATTAGGGCGTGTTCCAGAGCCCCAGGGGACAGAATTTAATAACGTCTTGGCGGGAAGTCCCCCGTGGGCGCTCGGACCTACGCAGGAGCATTTCCAGGGCGAAAGGCTCTTTTCTTAGTAGCTTAACGATAGAGTCGTATTCTATTATTATAATTAGAACCCTAACCCTAGTAGAAAATTGTAAATATACTAAAAACGAATTTCTATTAATATAAATAAGTTAAGTTTTTAACCCTAACCCTTATATTAGGCCCTAACCCTAGTACGGTCGATTTATCAGCTGTAAATAGTATCTGGCAGTTGCCGGTAGACGATTTGGGTCGTTCACAGGCAGAATAAACAGGTTTTCGCTGCGGAAGACTCTCTCTGGTTTTTAGAGTGTGCAAATTGATTCTATTGGTTGTATCGATCTGTGGAGAGCCCCGATTCGGATAGCTCCACAATCGCCTGAATTTTCCAAATCTTGGGGGAGGTGGACCTGGAACACGCCTCTGAAAAGTCCACTTAATGAGGTTAAATGGCAAATTAAGCGGCACTGGAACACGCCCTTATTCGGCACCCATCCTCTCAGATTTTAAGGACATCCACCCCAAGACGCTCTTTCCCCGGACAGGCCCTCCTTCACCCAACGTGCTCATGCTCGCATTTTGTTGGTGTCATCTGACCAAGGGCCAGCTGCTCCTTCCTCGCCAGTACTAGGCACCCACCACCCCCAGCTAACATGGACATCCACCTCAAGACGCTCTTTTCCCCGGACAGGCTCCCCTCCGCTGAAATGTGATCAATGATCATGCTCACATTCCGAGGGTGACAGCGGAAGGAAGGGACATGACGCTTTTTCTCTCCCCCGAGGGACGGAAAGTCAGCCCAGCAGTCCCCGTCCTCTTCTCCTCTCTTCTCCTCTGAAGTTTCTTCATTCGATGTGTCGCCGCCACCCGCACCCATTTGTGTGTGTGCCGCCCACCGCCCTTCTCCCGTGCTGGTCTCTGCCCGCCCGCCCCCCCTCACCTTCTTGACGGCACTCTTGATCAGAACCTGGATGGCGCTGTACGCCGTCAATATGGCGATGTCATCAAGATTGACGGGAGACATTTAAGATACTCTCCGAGGCTACATACTGTTTGATGACGGCCCTGGGGACGGAACTGGACACCTGTATGTTTACTGACGAGGCCTACAAGATGGAACTGGAGACCAATAAATTTGCAGACAAGGTCCTAGAGATGGAACTGGACACCTGCACTTCCGCTAACCAGGCCCTGGAGATGGAACTGGATACCAATATCTTTGATGACGAGGCATACGAGATGGAACTGGATACCAATATCTTTGATGACGAGGCATACGAGATGGAACTGGAGACCAATATCTTTACAGACAAGGTCCTGGAGATGGAACTCGACACGTATATTTTTGCTAGATATGCCCTAGAGATGGAACTGGATACCAATATCTTTGCTGTCTAGGCCTAGAGACGGAACTGGGTAGGCCTTAAAGTCGGAACTGGAGACGTCTTGTTTTGTCCGAGAGGTCTGATTTCCTTCGGAATAGGTCTCACGCTAACAAACAAACCAGTGCGGGAGCTTACAGCATCCTGTCCAGTCCTATCACTATTTATGGCGTTGAGTTGGTGAAACAGAGGAGCGCCTTGAGTAGGGCTAATGACAGCTGGTGTCTCCTTGACTTTGGATTCCGCTGTCGGTCTGCATTTTTTCAGCAGTCGCCTTGATTGACGTGAAAAGCTGGAGAGTACGGCGTTGACATCGTTCAATGTTGGCCTTGCCCTCGGTGGAGGTTGTATCCACAGCGGGCTGGGATGTGTCTTCGACGGGAGGGTGCTCAAGCCAAGGGTTGTTGGACGGCTCTTCCCCCCCCTCGTCCTCATTTTCCTCGATTTCCTCCTCAATGTACTGAGGGTGGGACTTTTGGAACTCCCGCAAGAGGGCAGAGAGGTCTTTGTCGTTGATGTCAGCCGCATCGTCGAGGCCAGCCGCATCATCAAGGTTGTCCTCACCCCCATCCGAGGCAACGGCGGCGTCATCACCCTTTGACTTCTTGGCGTGGGGGGGCGAGGCGGAGGAGTTCCTGGCACGTGCAGCCTTGCGGCGGCTGGTGCGGTTGCGGAGAGAGCGCGGGGAGAGGTCGAGGATAACATCGGAGTCGCTGCTCTCTGCATCGTAGATGTTGAACCCTGAACGCGGTTGTTAGTCAGCAATTGGCAGAGGGATATGTGGTGAATTGACATGGGAGGTATGGGGGAACATGAGGGCAATGGGGAGACATACCCTTTGGGCCAAATGGGTTTTCGTTCTTGTCCTTTGGCAGGGATACAGGTGTGCTCAGCGCTGCGTGGCTCTGGGTGACGACTGGGGGGATGGTGGATGGTGCTTCCCACGCTGGTGTATTGGACACGGGCGTCTTGGACACTGGTTTCTTGGACACGGGCGTCTTGGGCACTGGTTTCTTGGACACGGGCGTCTTGGGCACTGATGTCTTTGGCGCTGGCGTCTTTCGGTGGGAGGGAGTGGTTGGTACGAAGTCCTCTTCCGACGTGCTCGGGTTGTTCTTTCGCTCTGCTGACAATCACGGCCAGGCCTGCCTCCACTGCTGATCACGGCATCACGGGGGAGAAACGCACTGCTGGAAAACATTTTCGTGGGGTTCCTGAACTGATGACCGCCGGGCTCAAAAAGAAATTGTCAAGTCTCCACCAGGATGGGTGGGAAATGTCCCGGGTCACCGGTAAAAAAGTGGAAGCCATAAAGGGCCATAACTATAGGATAGGGTAGGGGGTTGGCAGGAATCGAACCCGCGTCTTCTCGCCTGGGTGGAAACCGACCCTTGCGGGTCAGTAGGTTTGGCGAGACGTATAACCACTATACTACAACCCCTTATTGATTGGTGATGAATAGCTCCTCCGATTCAACTTCTGATATAGGGCTTCCCCGTATTCTAAGGCATCATTCTCATATACCATCTTTAACTTTCAACAGGTAGGATGCCGAGCATGCTGGCACCAGGGCCGCCTGCTATCCAACAACGAAAGAAACCAAGGCCTTTACGGAGATCCTCCAGCCCCGATGTTAGCCACTCGTTTCACAGACATGCATGGAGGTCACTGTCAGTTCAGCCACTCGTCCAACATCACATACAATACAAAAATGATAGGTCCAGTGCAGCAATACCCCTTTCATGCTATCTACCAATGCCTAGTCTCCATCCCCGGATCCCGAGTCACTCGAGTCTGAATCGTTGTTGTTCGCGTTTGCATTGAGCGTACGGAGAAGCTTGACTGCCCCGGTGCTATCCAGCTCATCGCCCTTAGAGATGTCCGTATCGCTGCCCTCGTCGTCCCTACCACTACCCGCACTGCTGTCTCCGCCGTCTCCGCTCTCCCCGTCGCTCGGGTCCAGGTCCATGGGGTCATTTCCGGGATTCACTCCGTCCTTGTACGTATACCGATGGTTTGGCTTTGACCGGTATACAAGTAGTGCCTGGGAGGCAACCTGCCGGATCAAGCTCAGTCCGGAGCGTATTTGCTTTTGTGGCCATGGCCTTCCTAACTGCAAAAACGCTGATGGCATTCAGAAGCGTCTCTTCCGATGTGTGGTTTGCCCTTGGGACAGGTATGGCAGTGTCGCCCTTTTCGGATGTTGGTGATGAGTTCATCCGTGACGCGGAATTCCTCGCCGATTCGCCTCTCCGGCTCCAGTTTCTCCTCTTTGGAGTTGGGGGCATAACCATCAGCGTCTCTCTTTGGCGCGGACATCTTCGTGCTGGATGTCCTCGTCCTCGTCCTGGGCGTCCTCGTTCTTGACCTCCTCGTCCTGGACCTCCTCGTCTGGACGACACCAGAAGCGGCATGGGCGCTGAGCCATGTCAATTGCCGCGTCGGCAGGACCAAGTCCAAATGGTGGAACTTCGTCGAGGAGTGCTTGTCAGCCGCTGCTCAGTGCTGAGAGCTGTGACGAGTGACGCGGCTCGCGGGGACGGGAATTATGGTGCATCTGCCATGTTGAAATCTGCGCGAAGCATGTTAGCATGACACTGGCACAGGTCCCATCGTCGCGGGGCCGAGGCCCCCGTACTCGTCCACCATGCCGTTGTCGCCGGCGGCATTGACATACCTCTCTCGGGGGGCAAACAGGCCCTATGGCTGGGGGTGGTGTGTGGGCGGGAAGAATTTGGCGGAGCTGGCCGGACTGCGAAACGATGGAGGGCGGTGAAGCGGTAGGAGCATGGCGCCTGGCACCTGGCTGAGAGTTTGAGGTGGACCGGGCAAAGGCGACGGGGACGACGACCACTGGCTAGGTAGGGCCCAACAGGCCAACGCCCAGTCCACGCAGAATTGATTTCCATGTCAAATCCGCGACGCCCGAGAACGCCATGGCTGAGGCTCATTGCCACTGCCCTCACCGAATTCCAAGCACGCTCACTCGGAGTCCTCCCTCCGCCCCGCACAGCGCAGTCGTCGACAACCACCGCGAGCGAACCCTCCCATGGAGTCGGACCATTAGCTCAGTTCGACGTCAGCCCCAGGCACCCCAAAGGCAAAGTCTTCCCCGGCTCTGCCGTTTTCAACTCAGTTTCCAAACGAGACGGAGCTAACCATACCCAATTCCAAGCGCACTCCCTCCAAATCCTCCCTCAACCCCGAGACCCCAAGCTTTCCACCCCCTGTCGAAAGCCAGCGCGTTCTTTGAGTCTTCCAGTCCCCCATCTTCTTGGGGCTTGTGTCCTGTCGTCGCCTCGTACACGCCGTGCGGCAGCCGTCAGTCGAGTCGAATCTTGGAGCCTTGTCGGCAATCAGCCAGTGTTGGATCTTGGACCTTTGTGTGTGTTCTGGCCGTCAGTCGAAGAGTGTCGGAATCTTCCAGCCAATATCAACCTGCCTAAAGTCAGCCTCCACTACGAGCAAAGCCCCCGTGGAGTCGGACCCTGGGACTTGGTTCGACGTGCAGGAGGAGGAAATACAAGATGCGATGGAAGAGGAGAGCCTAAATGCGGGGGGAAGAGGTCCGCTACAAGAGGGGGAAGTTAATCAGGCAGCTCGAGAGACCTCGCCCAGGGTGTACCTACTTTCAGTTACCAGCCGTGTTGCCCCCGGTGGCGAGCAACTGGTAATCGTGCTGGGATCTCAAACGAGGCGAAACTTTCAGGCTTGTGAGAGCATGCTTCACGCGATCCCACTGGTTCGCGGGTGTCCAGCTTGCCGGCCAAGAAGGTCTGAGCATGGTCAGCGGATTCAGCAGCTGGAGGCGAGAGCTCTGGTGTTGGGGGGACCGATGGAGGGCGGGCAAGTGGCATGTTTACGGTGCAGTATCTCTGGGTCAAAAAAGAGTGTGAGAGGGGGAGAGCGGCGCGGCTTCGTTTGGGTTCCCCAGTGAAATACCCCAATGTTTCTGCGATTAGAGGGTGCCGGCGCTGGGGTGCTTGTTAACGCGGTTCGAGGTGAACGACACAAACTTGCTGATGCCGGTGACAACCAATGTAGTGTCTTATGTTAGGGTACGACAGAGTCTGCGAGGTTAGTGGATGGAAGAAGAAGGTGTAAACACGAGGGGGGGTGGGTCTTGTGTATGAAAATGATGTTGCATGGTTTATTCTGAATTGAAGCCATCGCCATCTCCCAACAAGGGCGCCACCCTTTCGGTTCGTTCCCGGCATGCGAGCGCAGTGCCTCGTTTTCGTTCGCAGCACCCTCTTTCGCTTCGTCCAACTCGACCACCAAGCCCAGCCATCAGTTCCATGATTCCATCAAGGCTCAATACGAGAGCCCACAAGAGAGCAGTCGGGTCACTCCATCATGGCAGTTACGTAGTCGATCACTTCCAAGATTCCACACGCGAGAGAGCCGTGCGCATCGTTTAGTCGTCCCGCCAGCGCGCATTCCGGGGACCATTGATCACTATTACGCGGAGGGTGGAGGCGTCAATGTGGATGGATTTCGGAGATGAAGAGGAAGGGGTGGGTGGGGTTATTGGTCGAGCGAGAGGCACGGGAGGTAGGGGAGGTAGACGGAGAAGGCGGTGCAGCAGTGACTTGCGGGGGGTAGGGAGGTTGACGGAGATGGGGTTTTGAAGGAGGGTTATTCTGGTCGGGGGGGTGGTGTCTGGGTCTTAGGGGGAATCACGGGAACTATTAACCATGAATTAGCCAGGGACTGTGGTATAGTGGTATTACATCTCGTCCTTTACCGTTCGCTCGTAAGAGAGGCGGTTTTCTGGGGGCGAGAAGACTCGAGTTCAACCCTCGACAGACCCAAATCTAGCTACACCTGCTTTTTTATATATGTCTTCTACCACCGTAGGTGGCAAAGTCTTGGACCTGTTTTCTTTTTACCACTGCGCTCATTCGTCCACCGGGATGGCAGCGACGGCAAGAACATAAGACAAGTCTGGCTGATTAACCGTCTCTCGACGAGGATTCCATGCCTGCAAGAACTATTCGACTGATACGCGCAAGTATAACGATAGCAAGAACCATACGATTCGACTCCCTGGCTGGAAGATTCCGACACTCTTCGACTGACGGCCAGAACACACACAAAGGTCCAAGATCCAACACTGGCTGATTGCCGACAAGGCTCCAAGATTCGACTCGACTGACGGCTGCCGCACGGCGTGTACGAGGCGACGACAGGACACAAGCCCCAAGAAGATGGGGGACTGGAAGACTCAAAGAACGCGCTGGCTTTCCGGCTCTGACTTTGACAAAAAAGCTTCCGCGGGAAGTGCTGGCTGTGCTGACCGACGACAGACATTCCAAGGCCGGCTCGACTAAAGGGGTTCGACTCTGCGAATTTGCCTTTTTCACAATCTGGAGTCATTAAACGGGTGGCCGACGACAAGAAGGATACGCGGTATCACGGCGCAACAGGCAAAGCCTGTGACAGGTCGAACCGGGGAGACAGAATACCGTAGGAAATGCAAGGCTGTCTTTGTCTCCGGCAGCTCCTCAGACACCTTCACAATCTACAAACGCCAGTGTTGTTGAAGAACCCAAGACATACCTTTTCAGCACCAACTCCGCCCCCCAAGTCGGTGTGGTTGACCATGATCATTGAGGCAACACCGATGCTCGGAAGTGGTCGACCGTCGAATACTTTGTCCAGGTCGTCTGCCAAAAATATTTTAGACGGTTCTCTCTGTCACACACAATAATGCAAAGATTAATATCTTTGATGGATGAAACGACATACGGTTTCTCCTCTTGTTTCATTACTGAAACCCAGGAGGGAGGTTGACACAAGGCAGTTGGTAAGTTCAGACTCGCAATGGCGAGGTTCGGTGGCTACAAGTTTAAAATTCAGATATTTTCTAGTATTGATGAAAAGGAAAAAGAAGGTAGTCTGCCTGCAGACTACAGCCGTGTACCTACCTCGGGCCACGCCCAAGTCCAGTCACGTCACCATCCAGAAGCCCACGAACAGGTCCCCATAATTACTCCAAGGCCTTGGCCAGGGAGTCCGGAAACTCCCAGCCGCGGTGCTGGTGGAGCCTCTCGAGGTCCTCCCGGAACTTCTCGTGGAAACGGAGCTTCCACCCAGGGAGTGCCTCGTCGAACCGCTCAACGAGCAAATCCGAGATTCTCCACACATCCCTGCCGTACTTGACCGCGAGCTTCGGCATGTGCAGCCAGCTCGCGTCCGTGTACGGCCTCTGCTTGACGGCAAAGTGGTAGAGGGCGATCTTGACCAGCCTCCGGCCCTCGGCCTCCACCTCGCGCAGGTCCTTCCGGGCCTGCTTCGCGGCGCTCGCCTGGGCCTTGCGGCTCTGGCGAACCACCTCCTCCGCCTCCCTCTCCCGTGCCCACACATCTTCGATGCGCGACCACGGGTCCTGGCCTCCGTGCGTCGAGGCATACTTGACGGCATAGTTGTCGTGTTCCA